CAGAATCTAGAGAATCAGTATTGAACATGCTAAATTAACCACCAATGTAGAGTAGCATTACAAAACTAGATGAGGTCGCAAGGCAATGCAGAAATAAAATTCCAGCAGTAAGTGATGGCATCACAAAATGAACAAAAACACGTTTACATCAAACACAAATAAACACACACCGTACATTCCCAAGAAATAATATTAGGAAGACATTATATGAGTGGTGCATATAATGACCAAAGACACCGTAAATAAACCAAAATATAGAGAATCATCATATAGAGTTTAGAGTACAGCATGGACATGCATCACTTTGAGACAATTGCTTCATTCTAATGCTTTAGCTTTGAATGACAAAGTTGCCTCACTGTGCAGGTTGAAAAATGCAGGTAAATATGGTGATTGTTTTTTTCATATATACCTGCTTTTTCTTTCTTATGCTTTCCACGCCCACTCCAGGGGCACACTGATCTAACCAATTAGTGTCATATCCCTAGGAATGCTGTAAAAGTGCACTGGACATGCCTGATATATTTAAATATGTGCAGCAGGAACATCTCTTCACCTTGCAACATCCTGACAGGAGGAGAAGAGAGGGAGTGTGATCAATGTGATCGTGCAGAGTAGGCTCTGGAGTTGGGTTTCTCTCTCTTTCTACTACACCAGTGGTAGTCAACCTTTTTCTACCTACCGCCTACTAATGCATCTTTCTTGATGGAAAAATTTCCTTAACGCCCACCAGTTTTCACGCAAGTGCAGAATATTTTTTAGAAAGGAGGGCGTTTTAAAAAATAAATAAATGTACGTACATTTATCTTTTTATTTCTACTTTATGCATGTTTATAACTTTATAAAGTTTAATGAGAAAACAATAAAGTAAATTGAAATTACCTTTACTAGTGATTAATGAGATCCTTGAGGTTGATGCTGCGAGACTAAATATTTGATATCTGGTTTGATTTTCGTAAGGAACAAACGAAGGTCTCCTCTTTCGGTGATATTCAGACGATTTCTCTGTTTGCTCATAATATGATTTCTCATCTGTGCATCAGCTCCCTTCCTCTCCCTCCTCAATTCCCCTCCCCACCTTTTTTTCTTCCTTTTTTCTATTTTTTAACCTTCCTTGTAGCAATGCCCAATAGGAAGGCTGAGCTACGCAGCCCACTTACTATTGTTAGCCAACAACAATTCTCTTTTCCTTTTTATTTTCCTTCTTTCTCCTTTTTTTACAAGTACTCTACTCCTTCTTTCTCCTGTTCTACAGTACTCTGCGCCTTCTTTCTCCTTTTTACAAATACTCTGCTCCTTCTTTCTTCTATTCTACAAGTACTCTGCTCACAGACAAACACACACACTCACACATACACTTACAGACACACACACTCACAGACAGACACACACTCGCACATACACACAGAGAAACACATACACACACACTCACATACACTTACAGACACTCACACACTAACATACACACACTCACACATACACTTACAGACAGACACACATACATACTTACAGACACACACACACATACTTACAGACACACACACACATACTTACAGACACACACACACACACATACACAAACATACATACTTACAGACACACACTTACAGACACACACACACATACACTTACAGACACACACACACACACACACACACACACACATACTTACTTACATACACACAAATTATTAATATTGAATGTCCACCCAGCCTCCCTACCTGGAGAGCTGGTGTGGATCTGTCCCTGGGGTCCAGTGGGGCTTCACTTCGGCGAGGCGCGAGTGAGCTCGCGCCCGCCCGCCCAAAAGTAGAAATCCTCTAAAAGAGAGGATTTAGCCGCTGAAATCCCTACTGCCCACCTGGAATCCTGAAACACCCACTAGTGGGCGGTAGGGACCAGGTTGACGACCCATGTACTACACAATGATGCCACGTTGCTGTCATTAGTGGACTGGTCTGCGACTAAAAAGGGTGGGTAAGAAAGGGGAGATGTGAAGCCGAAGAAACTTCCCTAGCTGAGAAGCATGTCCAACAAGGCAATCTGACTGAGTTTTATAATTAATTTAGAAATGTTTCTTACGTACTTTTCAACACTTTTCTTGCTTTATTTTGGTTTGTATATTTGTTTAAAAGTGCTTGCTTGCAGGTTTAAAAAAATAATTTTCAATTGAGCCATGTCTTTGTAAGCAATATTTTCTAGTCATAAAAGGGGAAAAACATGGATGAGATAAAAAGCAGACCCCACACCCCCAATTTTTTTAAATAATATTTAAGATAACAGTGTAATGGCAAAAGTTTCAGATGCTGCTAAATGAAGCGGAGTTAGGCTTTCAAGTGTCCTACTGCAATTATTAAAATACATCTGAGCAGACCTGTCATGAAAACAGTACAACAGTCCAGGATAAATGCTGGTAATTATTAATGTTTTTAAAGTGCCAACAAATAATATGTTTTCACTCCACTACCTCCCTACATGAATTCAGCACTGGGGCACTTTAGAAGTATGAGAGGCAGTCATGCACCCGGCAAGAGCATGATATGCCAACATCTTGACCCTAAGCAGAATAAAATGCAGTTCCTTGGAAAAGGGCAGGCCTTTCCAGCTGTCTGAGAGTATTCCATGAGGGTGTTCCAATTTGGGTCACTACTGCTCCTGGAGGAGCTCAGGAATTTTACAGCCACCCTCCTCAACTGTGCTGCTGTTGCAGCAGTTTGTTAAATACTTTATTAGTGGAGTGAAACACCCCTGTACTGTGCTTGGTCTGCTTTGCTTTCATTTTAGCACACTGTTTCAAGGCGATTTTTTTTATGGTTTATAACAGGGGTAGGCAAGTTTTGGTGCGCCAGATATGGCTGTAAGAGCATTATAAGTCCACAACATCTGGAGTGCCTTTGGTTACCTATCCCTGGTCTATAAGTTGCCCATTGCCACCATTGTTTGTGGCTCATGCCCAAGATCTAGCTTGTTCAGATGCATTTACCTCTTTCCCTAAAAGGATTACTTATAGTATACTTGGAGGACTTGCATCTCAAGATACCAAAGTGTTGGCTGAGGCAATCATTGAAACTGTAGAAGCACAGTCTACTTTACCTGGACTTCGGAGGCAATACATGCAATCACATTTTAGCCGTCCACTGTGGACTCCCAGACCTCTTCACAAAACTTGTTTCTGGTAGGAATTTTGCAGAGAACATCTACTCCTATAGTTTTTATTCAGCTCCTATGCTGACCTAGCTTCATTATGCATTGGAAACTTCACAGGTTTCATGACAAACACATACGCTGACTTCAATCTTCAACCAGGCACCTTGCATGGCTCATAAATCATAGTCTTCTGTAGTCCTGTCCTAAATCATTCGTGAGAAAGGGTAGAAAGGTACTTGGAAACCCCTTCAAGACAACTGAAAGGCTGTGCACCATTCCAGCAACCTACAGATTGGAGTATCTACTGAAAGGAACACCAACTAAAAATCAATAAAATAAATTGTTCCTGTTTTAGATTTAGAGCCTCCCTTTAAAAAAGTTCAAATATAATTTAATCCAGCACCAGGGCAGACATCTTGCAGCAACTGCTCCATCTCTTCTTAAGTCATCAATACTGATGATCTCGGTCCATCTCAGCACATCAATCTGATGCTTCTCACAAGGGTAGCATTGAATCGAGTGCTTCTCTATGAGAAGTATTAGAGGCATTTAGCGTTATCATGCAGTGTATGATGACTCAGAACATAAAGATCTTCAAAAATCAAGGGTCTTCCATTAGCAAGTGCCTGTGTATAGCTGTCCGTCTAATAGCTGCTAGAGGAGTGGTGTAGGCAAAATGTAAACAATTCCATTTCTCTGAACAGGGTCTTTAGATCAAAAACACTTTGTTAAAGTAAAATGGTTTTGGTGCTTAGAGTGTACTTTTAAAAGGACAGTGAAGTCAGTGTATTTGCTTCTCCCATTGAAGTGGTTATAGTGTTTGGAATTGCCTGGCGCTGTCCATCCATTAAGCCATAAACAGTTTTTAATATTTAATGCTAAATGAGAGTCCCCAGCAACCCATCCCCTCTGTGCTCATTGGCCTAGTAAGGGAGCATTAGCCTTAGCAGCAATGGGAAGCTTTGATAAGCTGATATTGTCAGCTGATTGCGTTCAGCTTACCCGAGCCTCCATTGCTTGTATGAATTGTCACAGCTAGAAGGAAGTGTGTAATCACTACCTTAGACATACCTCCACTGGGTGTAGGCCTGTGGGAAGCCAGGGACTCCTATTTAGTGTTAAACTGCTCAAAAATGGCTTAACACTGAATGGAGAGACAGTGCCAGGGGACTCCAGGCATTATAACCAATTCAATTACATGTTGGTTATTGAATTGCAGTGTTCCTTTAGGATGTATATGATGATCCTTGAGACACCCATATGTGTAATAAAAAAAAAAAAGTTAGTGTTTTCTTTGAAATTACTCACAGGGTTATTAATTAAAGATTAACTTGGTGGAAATATGAAATTTTAGGACAATATAGCTAAAATGAAAACATTACTGACTTGTAGAATGTTTACAATTGAGCTATTTAGCTAAAATTCACACTTTAGAGAATAGCTCTACCAGTGACCACATGGAAAATAATTAATGTGCTGGCTATGAATATTTTGAGGGGTAAAAATAACTTCCGCTCTTTTAGAGGGTTCCAGTGTAGCTTAATAATGCAGTTTAACATGGCGTCTTGCAACATAACCTAGTTGTAAATTGTGAATAAACGTTGAATTGGAAGATTAAGGTAAAAAATAGCGGGGCTGGAAATAGAACAATTTCCATTTCAGCTAGTTTGACCTGAATATGCTATTTCTTTGCCGATTCTTTGTAAATCTTTTTAAGTTGATTTATTTTCTTTAAGTTTATATAAGCAATACTTATATTACTTATTTACTTAGTAAATAGTCACTCAAAATTGTCAAAATAATAACTTTTAATTAATTTTCTGAAAAACAAAAACTCAAGTCAATAAATGTGCCTAAAATATATATATTTTTCCATTAGAACTGGTCTGCTCTCTTTATGAGGCGAACATGGAAAAAGTTCCTGTTCGAGCTGCACGCAGTGTGTGTACTTTTTGAGTAACTGTGATGAGTGAGTCAGTGTTTGGATGCAAAGGTCTCTCTGTGTCTCAGAGCAGGAGCCTGTACCTTTAAGACTTGTCTGTGAATTACAAGTTATTTTCTGGATCCGGGGTAGAGGGCGTTTTCCCTGGACAACAGGAAAAACCGAGGGCTGGATGCAAAAGGCTGAGGAAGAGAGAGAGAAGATATTAATAAATAACTAGTAAAGAGAGTGGGCCACACCAACCTCTAGAGGGAGAGATCTGGAAAGAGCAAGCCTACAGACACCATCTGCTCTGCTGGGAAGCAAAGGATCCTGAAGAGACTGAAAGGAGGAATCCCAGCAGACCAGCAGCTACACAACCAGCACCATTCAGCGACCAGAAGGACCCCCCAGGTGGGTGCTCCAGGTGGATGTTCTAATGGTCACTGCATTGATACAATGTATCTACCCTCCCACCTTCCTCTCTGCATTGCTCACTATTCCTAGCTTGCATTCTGTTGCATGTTCTATATACTGTATATGATTAATACTGGTGCTCACCATTTGCAGAGGAAAGGGTTAATCATCACCCCCCACCATCTCTCATTGAATGGTTTTATATTGTAGTTTTTCCAGATCATTTTGCCCACTCATCCTGATCTTTTTATAGTTCTGTACACTGAGACCCACTTACTCCTCACTTACTGCCCCCCATCTTCTGATCTGCCCTATGTGTCCTTGAAGGACAATTATATTTATGAACATTTCTTCTCTCTTCTGCTGTAAGCCTTTTATTATCTCCCCATATCCTACACCCCCCACCCTCTCTCGCTCTCCCCCTCGCGCTCTCTTTTTTTCCCTCCTTTGCCTATCAGTCTGTTTTCCCCTCCTTCCCTCCCTCTCCCTGTGTCTGTAGCTGGCTGTGCGGACCTTTCTCTGGGACAGAGGGATGAGGGGGGGCTGCTCTCTGCTGCCTTGCTCCCTGGGATGGTGGGGGCGGATTGCGGGGGTGTGAGGTAGGTCTGGGGGAGAAGGATTGCGGAGGTTTTTTTTTTCCTCTCTCTTTCTAGGGAGGGAGCTGGGAGTTCTGGGTTGGTCGAAATTCAGCAATGCAGAAGGGCCAAGCTGTGCGGGAATGTGCTGGAGGCAAGCGTTTGGAGATCTACCGGTAATCATAGAACAGCCTGGCCACTAGAGGGCAGACCTTGTGACCCCGGCCGTTCCCTGGGGCATTGCTACATTGTATTCTGAGCAGTGTTTGTAGACGGAGTTCTGAGCTGCTCTGGTAGGACTTCCTATATGTATACAGTACAGAGGTGTGCTCTACCGTGACCAGACTTCCTTCCTGTACGTGTCTGTGAATGTACACAGTGCTGGGATCTGCTAGCTTGGATCTGTCTCTATGTATGTATGTATGTTCACTGGTGAGCTTGCAGTGGATGACCCCTGATGGGGCTCCTTCTGTGTTAACTGAGCTATGATCTTGCAAGGTATCTGCTATGTTGCACTAAGCTGTGATTATCAAATGTGTGACATGGAGGGAGAGATTTCTCACCCCATGTACTAAACTGGCCTGCAGTGTGAAGACCAACTGTGTATACACAAATCTCCAAGCTTGCAAGGGATATTGCCAGGTGTGACCTGTGGTCTTGCAAGATAAAATCATATTAGGCTTATGTGAACAAGCTGTGATATTTGATGTGATGCTTTACTGCACAGACATGTTACAAGGTACCTGGTATAGTGATATTTCTATGGGTACCCTTAGCTGTGACCTAGCAAGAGATGTTGGCCCATATGGGTTGTTTGTAAACATAGAGACGTGTTCTTGGTTTTTATAGATGTTGATGGGGTTTCTGTGTATACATGTTGCTCTGATCTTCAAGTGACATTAAAGTATTTGCTGAGATGCGATCTACTAAATGCATACTGAGCTGTAATCCACACTCTAGGCCATCCGTACGTCAAAAGCTGGTTGAATTTATATTCCTTTTTCATCTCTGGTTTGCACATGGGTATCTGAGAATGGCTGGCATGTCAAGTGAGATGTCGAGAATAATACTAATATGGCATATAGCTTGCACATAACTGGAGGTATCTTTTCTAAATGGCAACAAGAGAATTGCAAAATGCAGCCTGAGATAGCAAGGTTGGGAAAAAAAATCTACCACTCAGCTGGGAATTATTCACTAAACACCAAAATGTTGTAGTTAATTGAAAATGGTATTTTAGAATTCAGGCCAAGCTTTGACATGAGCGACGTTGAATTTTTTCATACTAACTATTTTGCTCAAAAATATGCAATTAAATTTAAAGCTGGCTGCAATACCCAGTTAGTTACACACAAAAATGCATTTTTTTTTTTTTATTTTTTTTTATTATCTGAAAAGGCCAATAACTTTCCAGTTTATTTTTACATTGTTTGATTTATAGGTATATTCCTGTGACAAGTGTTTAATACTCCCCTCCCCCACGCACTGGGGAATATACGTCGCTAATGTAATTCCCTACTTGCGCAAAAGCAAGTGGTACTGTAGTACCTACCACATGCAGGCATTAAATATGACATACTTGGCGCCTACATTGAATTCTCCAGTCTAGGCATAATGGCTCTCAACCTAATGGGGCAACATACATTTTAGATTGCTCTCCTTGGTACTTGTGTTTTATGTATTTTGTTTCCCAACTTTTGTGTAATTAATTGGAGTTCTAAGTCTTCCTTTCTCTAGTTTGATAATGGCTAACGTACAAATATACAGCCACTAGTATACTACAGTGATTGTGCATAGTGACCTGGGTTCTGTAAACTCTATAAACTCTTTGCTGCTTGCAATATTTCTGTGTAAAGAGAGCTCCAGTAAAATGGGGAGGGCACAGCTTTGCCTGTTGCATACAAGGTCACTGTGCGCACGCAGAACATTATATTCCAGAAGCATTCATTGTTGACAGAAAGCTTACGCCATTCTTCTTGCTTGTTTTGGTGGGACCTTCAAGACTAGTATCTTAACATGCTGTTGCAGATCACCCCGGTATACGATGTTCTAATCTGGTTTTCAAATGGCTCTCCTTGTTTATTGAGCTATGACCTTCCAGAGAAACTTATCTGATTAATATTCTAAAATGATTTATTGAGTCCATTTTTGTTAATTAATTTAGATCATAGGTTCACAAACCAATCCTCTACCATGAATGTCCTTCAATGAGCACTAGTCCCTCAGTCATCGTGCTTCTTTTGTGACAGTTCATTTATAAATGACAAAATGCTATGAATGTTGTTTTTGGGAGTAAATATACGTAGTAAAATAAATTAAATCTTAAAGGAACACTATAGTCGCCTAAATTACTTTAGCTAAATAAAGCAGTTTTAGTGTATAGATCATTCCCCTGCAATTTCACTGCTCAATTCACTGTCATTTAGGAGTTAAATCACTTTGTTTCTGTTTATGCAGCCCTAGCCACACCTCCCCTGGCTATGATTGACAGAGCCTGCATGAAAAAAAAACTGGTTTCACTTTCAAACAGATGTAATTTACCTTAAATAATTGTATCTCAATCTCTAAATTGAACTTTAATCACATACAGGAGGCTCTTGCAGGGTCTAGCAAGCTATTAACATAACAGGGGACAAGAAAATCTTAATTAAACAGAACTTGCAATAAGGAAATCCTAAATAGGGCTCTCTTTACAGGAAGTGTTTATGGAAGGCTGTGCAAGTCACATGCAGGGAGGTGTGACTAGGGTTCATAAACAAAGGGATTTAACTCCTAAATGGCAGATGATTGAGCAGTGAGGCTGCAGGGGCATGTTCTATACACCAAAACTGCTTCATTAAGCTAAAGTTGTTCAGGTGACTATAGTGTCCCTTTAGTTACTTGCGCCTTACAAACTGTGTAGCGGTTGCCTCCATCTTAAGGCTTTATACCTGCTTGTTTCTTTGTGTCTGGTCTTCTCCATTGCATTCTTTTCTATGCAAATAGTACATATGTGTATGTACACAGAATCATGGGACATGTTCTGCACTTGCATTTTCATCCAATCTAAAAAACGTTGATTGGCTTAGCATGTTGAGGTTGGAGTAGCCCAGTGTCCCACAAGTTAGATGATATTGACAATGATAATGTAGAAGTGTTAATTTCACTTTGTTGTAACTGAGGAGAGGGTGGTCAATTGGCACATGGAATAGCAACCATTTAATTCAAACAATTTCTTAATGGTTTAATGTCAAGCCAAGACCTCAAGGAAAAAGAATTGTGTGTGTGTGTGTGTATGTGTGTGTGTGTGTACATACAATATATATATATATATATATATATATATATATATATATATATATATATATATATATATATATATATATATATATATATATATATATATTGTATGTACACACACACACACAATTGTTATCTAATAGTTATGTTGCTTAGAGGTGTGTGAACCCATCTATCGTGGGTGCAGCCATGATCTTCCGCCTGCAAGGAGCCAATGTTGGGGCTGTACTATCGCACTTGCATGAGAGTACAACACTGAGGTCTATAGTGGATCTTTTGAGATCCTCCATAGAATGAGCCTTTTTCCCGTCAATCATCTGCAGGGACTGCAATATTTCATTGCGGGGCTAACCTGTCTATAGAGGCTGTCAAAGTGATAGCCACTGATTGGCATAGAGAGGCCACTGCTATTGGTTTTAGATTGGCTGAAATAATCGATCTTGATGATCTCATGCAAAAAAGCAGAGTTGCACACACTGGATACTCGCGCTCTGAGGGAGAAAAGGTAAGTTAACATAACCTTTTTAACCCTGGCCGTGGGCGATCACCTAAACGGTGACTTGGGCACTATAGTGTTAGAAATACACACCTATTTCCTAATGCTATAGTGTTCCTTTCAGTGAAATTTCTACCCAGTCAATTATTTTGGAGGCAATATGACCGAGCTGCTTTAAACAAAATTTTACATCCCTCCACTGCATATACGTTTTATTGAGTGAAACGGCACTTGAGAATATACTGGTGGTGGGGGTGGTGGTGTTGTTATTACTACAACAATACAAAAAAACAATACTTTTTTTTTTTTTTCATCCACAATATACGATTTTAAACAAAAATGTTTATTTCCTTTTGAAGTAACAGCTGTTGCACATTAAGGAGCCTAAAATTATTTATTTATTCATTGTGCTAGGAAAAATGCATGCGCTGTTTTCTGGGGTTGGCAAAAAGTACGTAATTGAATACTACA